CTGGAGGCACTATTTGGGGGGCAGGTAGGGGGATTACAGGGAACTGAACCTAGGAATTACTGAGCTACATTACCAGCCTTTTTATTTTTTGACCTGGGCTCTTGCTAATTTGTCCAGGCTGGTCTTAAATTTCCAGTCCTTCTTCAGTCTCCCAAGTAGCTAGGGTAACAAGGATGCAACAATTGATTTCCTGAAGGCGTCCTTTTCATTAATTTTTAGTTCTATGACACAATCAAGTTCTTTCCATTTACTGTATTTATAGAAGTCAGGGTAGATCATTAGAAAATGATAAAATGGACAAAACAATAGTCTTGAAAGCAAGACTATCAACATAATTCTATTTTATGTTTTGCCTTTATATTAGTGATAAAGTTTTTTTAAGGATTGGTTTGATTTGAGTTGCTGAACTGAATACAAATGTAAGCACCCATGGTTATATTTCATTCTAGTATGCTAAGGCACCATGATATGAATATAAAGCCCTGCACAAAAGAAGTTATTCAGTGTAGGGAACGAATGTAGGGAATGGTTGTTACAGTTTTTGACAGAGTAGAGAAAGATTGTGGCTACAGAGCTGGGATTGGAGTTAGTAATGGAGGTTACATTGAAAAATAACAGACACATGAGAAAAAAGTTGTGAAAGTTTAAGAAATCAGGTGCTGTCTAAATGCTCCTTAGAAATCATATCAGCTTATAGAATTGAAAATTTCTTTTAATCAATATTTCATTTATTATTCTTTGCCAGTTTGATTGCTGTTATTTATCCAAACTATTACAAATGCAGATGTCACTGTTTTATTATAATTCTAAGTATTTTTGGAGTATTAGCTCAGTTCTTGGTTGTAATCTACAAAAATCCCCGTTTCAGCTTAACTCCTATCCCTTCTGCTTTTGCAGAAATTAGCCCCTGACAGACCTGGGAGACTGGAGCACGCAGTGTAAACGCTGTCAAATTTCCACTTTCATCCCTCACAGCCAACAGCCTCCGCTTCTCTGTTTTTTTTTTTTTTCTCTTTCTGTCTTCAAGATAAACTTCTCTCTCCACTCTGCTTAATTATTCCCCTCAAAGCTCTTATTCCATACCCTTTCTACATCGTCTCTCAGAATTTTCCTCCATGAATGTTCCTGGGTAAGCAACACTCAGTTACTCCACTTTCTTCCTAACGCAATTGAAACAAAGATGTTTCTAGATTGCCTAATTCTATCTGATATTGCTCTACATATGTGCCTTGACCCTGTCCCTGCTTTTTGCCTGAAATCCCCTCTGCTTCTCTGCCATCAGCATTCTCTGCCCACATAAATGAGTGATTTTGAAGTCACCTCTATGCAGAAACAGATGCTGTATAAGGGAGATTCAGATGTTCACTATAAGCAGTGGAGAGGTAGGAATCACATAGAGCTGAGTCTTCATCTTCAGGCACGAAAGATTTCATAATTTACATATTAAGCATATTTGATTACCGGTGCTTTAAAAATACTTGAAAGTGGAAAGTTTAATGAAATTGCAGAGGTTAAGTGACTTGTCCAAGAGTAGTGGCACATTGAGAGTTGGTGTTTTGGATGCTGGAATCCCTAACCTGTACTTTTCCTATTACTCAGTCTTTATCTGGGTGAGTGGAAATAATTTTAGGTAAGGAATAAGTTCCCCATCAAATATTTTAAAGACATTTCTTTCATGCTAATTTAATATTAAACTATAAGGGGGTTCTGTCTGAAATGACTTACTCCCTTCCAGCCAGAGGGATGCTCAGGGCATCAGGGTTGTTCTTCATTTAAGCCAGGATCTTGTATGTGATGTGACTACACCTAGTTCTACACTGGCATGGAAGATGACTTGCATTATTTTAGCAATTTTTATAACTAAAAAAATGTTGGATAACCTCCGAATTTCAGACTAGGTCAGAAGAAAGCTTTCATTAGGAGAAATTACTCAATATACCATGAGCCCTAACATGAGAAAGATTATCCTCTAAGAAATTTGACTAAGAATAGTCAAATTTCTATAGCTAGAAAGAAAAGGGTTTTCAAGAATTAACCTGTGCAGATCTCTGATGTAATATTTACAGCCGTAAGCCCTAAATTATAATCTAAAGAACATGCTCTTCCTCTACTTCATTATCATGGATCTTTCCCTTTTGTATTCTGAACCTTTTCAGTTCAACTGAAAAGCCCCCAAAACTGCTTCCAGAATATTTGTAGTTCTGGAAAATTTTGGCTATAGGTTTCACGAAAAGTAAAAGATGAAAAGAATATGGAACATAGCCACATTTTTAGGTCAGTTCTCCCTGTTATTTTATGGTCTACCAAGTAATCAAACGTTTTAGGACATGAAAATAATTTTAGGCCTGTTAGTACGATATGATTGGAACCCTTGTACTTCATTTGAGCATGCTTGAATAGCAAAAATGACCCAAAATGTTTCCTGAAAAATTATATTCAAGGTTATATTTAAATGCAATAAAATGCAAAATATAACAATTTGATGTGTTTTTGTGCATCATAATACATAAATTAAAATCATTTTCAACTGCTATTAAATTGCAACTTAGTTAACAATAAATTAGTGAGACAAGAATGGTAACAATGTGCTTTTGGAGATAATAAACTCCACTGTGATTTTTTTCTTTTACCTCTCAGTAGTCTATGAGTACAGTTGTTTTTCTCTAGTCAACTCTGTTTTCACACCATGTTTAAAAAACAAGATTCTACCATTGGCTGAATTTTCAGTTATCTTGCACTTTGATTTTTTTTTTTACTCACTTTGCAGTCACAAAATGAGAAATGTAGACACTGTGTACATACAAGTTCGTGCAAGTCAAGTTCTTAAAACCACATGCAAGATTCAGCGGCACATGGTTCAGAGCTCACACATTCCAGGATCATGTAATACTGGCATGCAGATGAGAGGAAAGAAAAGCACCTACATCATGAAAATAGAGGATGATGAAAGAAAATGACATTTTCTTTATGACAATTATCTAATGCAAACCGTATACCCATAATCTTTACCAGAGTGGAAATTGGGGCAGAGAAGTAGATTTTTGTGGTAAATGGGAAACTGTATATAAATATTATTAGAGGTCAAGTGGCCATTAAGATTAAGAATTTCTTTTCTGTACTTGGCCTCTTCCATGTTATCTTTCCCAGTTTCTTGATTTGTATTTCCTCTGCTACATCATGCAAAAGATCAGAGCTAACACTGGAAATCACTTAACAAGCTCTAAGCCTAACAGATAACAAGGGTGTTTTCCACAATTTACACAGAATTAAATTGGATATAAATACCTCCTGTTCTTACCGGTGGGTGTTGTTATTCCATGTATTAAGGTGTGAAGCAGACAGGAAAGAGATAAATCTTTCATAAGTACATTATAAATAGGCAAGTGGTATATAAACCATATTCATAGGTAATAGAATCAAACAATGAAAGGTAAATAGTTGTCACAAAATACTTTATACCACAAAATGGTTGTAAAACTAGAGTTTAGGAGTGGGGACATAAAATAAATAATAGTTTCAGTACTGTTTTTGAAATAATCTGGCAGTATGGAGCAATAAAATTGAGAGACACGTTTTTTTCTGATTAAAAATTCTTAACACTGCTTTAGCCAGCCCAGCAGTAGAGATTCCCCAACAGATTTTAATGCTGATACTTTCGTTAAACAAGAATATTAATGAAATATATAAACCTAACCAATTTATATTTGCTCTCTCTTGCAAGATCAGAAGTTTCCTTGGGGAAATCAGTTTATTAATGATTTTTTGTTTTCTCAATGAACTTTGGGATCATTGGAAGTAATTCGTAGTGTGGTTACAATGCTGTCTGAAAAGTACTAATTTGACAAGCTCTTCAAAGAAATGTTTGTAATAATATTTATTTATTTCTCAAATAAATCACATGCAGCTATGAAAGACATAAGTTAGTGTTTGCAATGCTTCTTGCACAGGCTTTGCTAATTTTGAATCTTTATTTTTAAATATTTTGTGTTTATGTTAAAATGTTTCTGGTGGAACAAATATATCAATTGAAATTTTACAGGTTTGCTTATACAAACATTGTATTATGTAATTGATTTAATTAAACTTGAGTATGTTTATTGTGTAAAGAATTTTCAAAATTTCCCAGAGAATGTGTAGTCAGGTATAATGCTGTCATATTTTAGCTCTTTTATTTTAATTCCGTGGCTCTAAATCATTTAGTTTGAACTTGTTGCATAATTTATTTGTAGAAATTAATCTCTAAATCAAAAGAGAAGGTAAAAGAATACTAATAAAATACTTTTAAAACTCTTTGGAACATATTAATGTAAATCATGGTGATTTTTTGAGCAGTGATATAGGAGGCTGGGATATGCTAAGTGATTTTTGATGTCAGATTTGTTTAAAATGTATGAAGGAATCCAAGTTTCTTCCTTAAAAGGAAACATTCATTAAACCATGTACATTAAAATGGTAAAAAGTTAATTGTTTAAAATACAGAAGATCTATTTTTAAAAGAAGCATGAAACTTTCTAACAGAAAATGGTTATGGCATACTTAAGTTCTCTAACTTTTCCTACAATTTTCAAAGTTTTCTATATTTTAAGATGTGTTAACCTTGGATTGCTATTTGGGGGCATCCTAATTGTTACAGTTTACTTGCCAAATTCTAGTTAACCATGGGTCCCGCTACTATTTTTTTTGGATACTGACAACTAGACCATACAGTAAAAGTTCAAATCCTAGCTCAAGCAATTCTTTCTCTAACTGGACGTGGGAACCCAACTACACACAGTTATATCAGTTTGCATCATGTTATAATGCCTTTGCCACACAATATAACTAGATATAGCACCATGCAATGCCATGAATTGAGAATGAGACACTATCTCCAGGGAGGAAAATAAACGTCCAAGAGAAGAAACAAAAGCAAGGGGTTCAAAGCTGGTGAGACTGGCCTTTTCACTTTGACTGTACTATAACGCCTGTGGTGTTTCTGTTCTGGGAAACAAAATACATACCATGTTCATGTCAATGCCATTAGTATAAGTCCATGCATGCTGGAAATATTCTTCAAGCCGTTGCCGCAGAGGGTTAGGGATTTGGTGAAAGCGAATGAACTCTTTGACTCTCAGCATCTGCATATGGTACCTGGCAGTTCCCGAATACAGTCTTTGGATAATTGCAGAAACATTTCCAAAAATGCTTGCATACATTAATGCTGGATTGGATAAAAAACACAGTTATGGTAGAACACCGCATTTGGGTATAGTATATCTTCTTAGAATATCAAGTATGTAGATTTTTATTTTCTTATTCCAAATATATGGGCCAGATAGAAAAAAGTTAATTTAACAAGAATTTAAATTTTATAATTTTCATGGTAAAACTAGAGGGAGATAATAGTCCAATTCATTACTGATTCTAAATTAAAGTAAAAAAAAACAAGATTATTTTTAATACTAGCTTCTGACTATAAGAATTAACTAGAGATGAAATGCATTTGGAAAAGCTATTTTTATTATATATAGAAAGTCATGTAATGGGATACTAAAAAGATTTTTTCTTGAAAAAAATTTTATTAGATAAAACATCTTTTAGGGATTTTTTAGAAATCCCTAAATTTAGGGATATTTTTTAGGGAATTTAGGGATATTTTTGGAAATAAAGTTAAGATATCAGTTTTTAATTTACTCATGTATGCCTCTTGGCCTGAAATCTAATCTTGTAGAAGTAAAACACCTATTATAAGTTTAAAACTTATTTTGAATACTTTGAGTTTTCTAATGAGTACCCAGTTGGTTCAAGGAATATATATTTTTCTTAGCGTGTCGATTTGTGCACATTTAAAGATGCATTCTAATTCATTTCCATAGTCTATTTGCAAGAAAAACATATCTCTGGTTTAGAAAACATATGCAGTATAAATTCTGTGAGGAAAAATAGAACATATTTCTGTACTTTCATCTATAGGCAGAAACTACGGTACAGCCTGTGTTATGCATTTACTACTTAGAAAACGCTTATAGTGCTTCTTGGGTGAAATCTTTATTATTTAAAATAAGCTCTTTATACACATTCTCTTTAAACACATTTGTTTTTAGTTTCTAATGATTCTAAAAAAGAAACAATATATTCCGTAGAGAAAAATCACATGACATATAATCCGTGCATGAATCTTTGGGTAACTGTCAGTACATACAGATGAAATGGTGTATGTTATAGGTGCTTGTAAAACAGTATATTAGACAGGTGACGGAATGAAGTATTTAATTCAACTATGTTCGTCTTACCCTTTTTTCTTAAAATATGTTTTACAGATAATGGCTTCTATTCAATGTAGATTTTGGCCACATTTGAATTATGTTACAGTGACATGTTTTTGGGGGCATTTGCTTTCTTTTTTCTCCTTTGTTTATCAAGCTTGATTATCATGGCCTTGTTTATCATACATGTTTCAGATAAGAGACTGTCCATGAAAATAACTGACACTCTTTTACTTTTATTTATTTACTTTTGTATTTATTTAAGGAGATAAAGACTGCAGTGTTGTGAGAGTTAATTTTGTATCAACCTCACTGAGCCAAAGATACTCATAAGATTTGGTTAAATATTACTCTTAGTGAGGCTGGCAGGGTGATTTTGGTTGAAATGAACCTTTGAACTAGTAGACTGATAAAGCAGATTGAATTCCCCATTGTTGATGGGCCCTGTCCAATCCACTTAAGGAATGAATAGAACAAAAAGGGGAAGAGTAAGAGAGAACTCCCTCTCTGCCCGAGTATCTGAGCTGAAATTAAATATTCTCTTGTCCATGAATTTAAATAAAACTATTAGTTCTTCATTACTGCCTAGAACAACTTCTTATAATAAATCATTTTATCTCTATATTTATCTGACTTGCTATCTATCATCTATCTATCTATCCATCCATCCATCCATCCATCCATCCATCCATCCATCCATCTAAGATCTATTGGTTCTCCTTCTCTGGAAATCCAGACTAATTCATAACCTTCTGTAATGAGTCTGAGTTGGTGTGTGTAGCAGAAATTAGTTCTCTATATGGTATATCAATTGTTCAAATTTTATCTTTTATAGGAAGAGACAGCAGGTCTAATCTGAGTAAACTGACATTTTAAGAAGAGAATTAACAATATGTAATAGGGACAACTGAAAGTAGATAAGGAACAAAATGTATAACAGATGCTATGAAATAGAAATTGTTCAAAAGAAAAGGGGATAATGAAGAGGGAGGGCTAAAGGAAGGAAAGGAAAAGGAAAAATGAGAAAAAAAAGGATAAAATGGAAAAAAACCTCCACTTCATAAACAAGGAGGGGGGAAGAGAGGTTGAAGGGAGGAGAGGGGAATGGAAAATAAAAGGAAGCATCAAGATATATCATATACAGGTACAAATTTTCTATGATGAATGTGATCATTATGTATATCTAAATTGTACCAGTAAATTTAATTTAGAAAAGAGAAAAAAATCAGTGTTTTTCAGAAACACTGAGTTGTATGTTTTATTTTTTTACTCATTCTGACTGTAATATAAGAAATATTTATTATGTATGCTGTTATGTCTCTAAATACTCCTATCATATGCTCAGGAAATAGATTCTGAGAGCTTATAATCAATATAGGTATGAAAACACATTATATGAAGGAGAAAGGTCAGATTTTAATAAATACTATGGTTTTATTTGTATACTGCTATCAAAATAAATCAAAATACTCACTTAGGTTGTAAACAGGCATTTCCCACTTCCTGTCAAAAAGGAAAATCTAGATTCTATGTATGCAGTTGAATACTTGAATGAAAGATTGAAATATACCTCTCAGGAAAAAATTTGTATCAAGGTTTTTTAAAAATTCTAACAAAGATATGATTTTAAATCTATAGTTTATCATTTCATCAACTTTAGAAAAGTTTTAGCTATTGTTTTTAGATTACTGTATTTTCAACTTACTTTACCATTTTGGAACTCTCCACAAATATAATTGTTCAAGGACTTAGTTTTATCTCTCAGTCCCATCATTTTCTAGCTTATGTGTTTCCTATTATTTGAAATTTCTCCTGCTTATGTGCCATAATATTCTGTTTCTATTCTACTGATCTGTAAAGGATGATCATTATTATAAAATTAATAACGTTAAAGGCTGCATTCTGTCTTCCTACAAAAATGTTAAATATTGTTCTTTTAAAAATCTAATTTAAACTTATTTTAACTGATATATAAACACATAAAATCTGTACACGTTTACAGGCTACCATACGATGTTTTGATATGTGTGTATTTTATCATTTAAATCAGGTTAAGCATCCCTATCTCTTCAAACATCTTGCATTGTTTTTATAGTGAAAACATTCAAAATCATTGCTTCTACTGTTGAGGTAATTTAGTACATAACAGCCACTTTACAATATACTGGTACACCAGACCTTATTCAGAGGTGTAGCTTGGTATCCATTACAATCCTTTCCGATGTCTGTCTCCCTTGTACTCTCTCTGTAATCTTGTAAGTGACATGCCACTAACAATTTCAATGAAATAATATTGTTGTGTTCCACATATAAGTGAGATTATGTGGTACTTGTCTGCTGCCTGGCTTATTTCATTTAATATAATGACCACAATTCCAGTTATATTGTCACAACAATATTTTATTGTTTACATAGCTTTTATATGTCACATATTCTGTATCTATTGATGGACATTTAGGTTGTTTCCATTTCTGTTTATTTATTTGTTTACTTTGGTACCAGGAATTGAACATATGACATTGTGCTTGCCAGAAAGTTGGACTGGTAAGCTAAATCCCTGTCCATTCCTTTTCTTTTCCTTTCCATTATTGCAAATAATGCTGCAATGAACATGAGAGTGCAGGTGTGTCTTTACATACTAATTTAATTTCTTCTGGATACATGCTTAGTAATAATATTTCTAGATCACATGATAATTTCATTTTTAATTTTTTTTGATACTGGAATTTGAACTCAGGACTTTTTGCTTACCAGGCAGGTACTGTGCTGTGGAGCTATATAATCAGACCTCATTTTTAATTTCTTGAAAACTTTTACACTACTTTTCATAATGGTATACTTATTTTCACCCATCAACAGTGCATGGGGATCTCTTTTTACCATATCCTTACCACTATTTGTCTTTTTTATCTTTTTGATAACCGTCATTCTTTCTGTTGAGCATTTTGCCTTATAACTGTTAGTCACATATCTTCCTTTGAGAAGTCGTTGCTTATATTGCTGTCATTGGTGTTTGGTTTCCCATCCAGTGAGAGAGAAAAGAGAGATAACAGTAGAAAGGAAAACAGGCCTTTACTGAGGGTAGGGGAGGGCTGCTGAAGACAGGTAGGCACCCTTCAGAAGCTTCAGAAAAAAACCAGAGTCTTGTATTTGCAACTGAACAGGGGCAGACCTAAAGGGGCATGGCGGAATGACGCGTTGGTATGCGGGAAAAGTGGGCAGTTGGATTTGTGGATTTGCAAAAAACATACAAGGGGGCGCTGTTCAGCTCCAAAGGGAGCTCTTACATGAGGAAAAACCTATCAATTGTTATTGAGACTTTCTTAGTTCTTTATATATTGTGGATATTTACTCATCAGAAGTATAGTTAGTGAATATTTTCTGTCATTCTTTTTGGTTTCCTTTGCTTATTATGTTTTCTTTGCTGAATATTTTTGTTTTAATGAAATTTTATTAGACTTTTATTTTGTTTTTATTTCTCATGATTTTTGTATCTTGTACAAAAATCCTTAGATGTTAGACATTGTTCTTGCAGGTAGCTTGATCATTTGTACACTGAGTTATATCTTTTGATATTTAGTTTTTAAACTTTTTAAAGGTCTAGATAAGCTTTAGTACATCCATGAAGATTTTTGAATTTTTCTTGGTCTTAAAGTCTGTATTGCACATTCCAGGAATTACCCTTCCATGATTTCTGATCTTGTTTGTTTAATTCAATAAGACAGCTGCGATTTACTTAGTTTGTGTTTCTGTTCACTGTTCAGAAGGTAACCTTCAGGCAGGACAAGATGGGACTATCTCATTCCTTTTACTTCTCTTAAGCATCAAATTTTTCTGTTGATTTTCAATATTATGAAACAGTTACCTTATATGCTTTATTTAGCTTTCTATTTCCTTTTTGTTTGTTTATCTGATAGGGGCTTATAAAGTTTCAATTCCTTCATCATAGCTTGAAGTAGAGTACTAGTTACGGTTTTTTACATGCTACAAGACCAAGAAATTCTCCAAATTGTTTGTCAAATAGGACAGAGACAAAGATATTTGCTTTTATTTGTACTAGTTTATGTGTTTTTGTAAAACCAAATATATACATGATATAGTATTCATATGAGGTATAAACTTCATTACATACTAGAAAATTAGGTATAAATATTCAATAATCACTTATTTAGTGAATGTTAAACTTTTCCTTTGTTTTTCATTTTGAATTATACACATTTTAAAAATGAATTCTATGATGATTCTTTTTTACAAATCAAGAAAACATTTTGGATACATGTTTATGTATATTTGAGTTATTTAAATTTCATTAGAAAGTAATTTTTAGCATTTTATTTGATTTTTGAGTTATATTACTAAAACATTGATAACTGATAGCTTTCCATACAATTTATTTTTAAAGTTTTCTCTCAGAGTAAAGATTTAAAAACTCAAGAATAATGACAATTCAATCTGGTACTCAGTATACTTATATTTAACACATATGCAATATTTTATATTTTTGATTTTTTCTTATTTTAGGTTACCTCTAGGCCATTCATAGGTGTGAGGTGTACATAGTTAATGTAGAAATGTTCAGAGAAAGAAAATGAAACCATTTGCTAATATAATTATATCTAATTAGGCCTATCAGACTCAAATATACCCCTGAATATCAAATAGTTAAACAAATTATAGCAATATTTCTGCAATTAAGTTTTCTGTCTTAATTTTACTGTTTTCCTTAACTTATGGCACATAAGAGCCAAATCATAATAGAATTCTTTTAAGGATGATATAATCTTTTTCCTGTGTGATTTTTAAACTTTACACAGTCTCATTTGGATTAAGGTTTGTAGGACCAAGTCCTTTATTCAAAGAAATGATGTACAGAATGTGAGTTTATTTTACTGTACTCAACATAATTGAGTATATTTTCTTTTTTTAAAGATGAAATTCATCTGTAGGAAACATGGTTGCTTTTGAAAGAATGAATAAAAATAATCTAACACTATATTTACAAAAGCAGGGAAGACAGCAAGGAAGAAAGGGAGGAGATAAAGAGCAAGAGAGAGAGAGAGAGAGAGAGAGAGAGACAGACAGACAGAGGAAGAGGCCAGACAGAGGGGGAGAGAAAGACAGAGTAGGGGTGGAGAGAGGGAGAGATATGGCCAACATTTTCCTGATTTGAAGAATAGAGAATAGGTATAGACTATGTAAAGCACTGGGCTTTCTTTAATTTAAAATAGGTCACATAATAAATAGCACTACGTAGTTCACTTAATTCTCACTGGTAAAGATTAATAAGTAGAGAACTGGTTAACTTTCAAGGCAATTTTAAAACTTTCTTGAAAATCTTAAATTTCAAAATACAAGTTAAATTTTCTTAAACATTATTTAAGAAATATAATTTATTAAAAACTATTTCTATATAACTGTTTAGTGAAGAAAAACTGTTGTGTTTCCCTTGTTTGTTACTTATGCCACTAAAGTTTACAACCAATGCAATATATATTCTAGTAGTCATAATCACAGAATCTTTAGACTGTGTATGCTGACAAACCTAATTTCTCAAAAATAGGTATGTCTAATTTTTATCTGGTAATCTCTACTTTCGTATGTTTCCTTCTGGATACAGTGTTACTCTGTAGCTAAAATTTGGATTGAGTTTGTAGAATATCTTAAGAGTTATTTAAATTTTTAAATAAAAGTTTAAATAAAATTTTATAAATTTTATTTAAAAACACCAAAGTATACAGACACATGTATACACACACAATGTGAAAAGTTAATAAACAATAAACTAAGTAAATCTATTTAAGTTTCATGAGTAGGTTTTTTATAAGAACATTTCTGTAGTCAGCAGGTTGACATCTGAAAATCAATAATCAGCATCTATTTTCAACTTTGTATGCAGGCTAAGAAGATACTTTTTTTGAAGCTGCAAGTATCAACCTTCTTCTTTTTTTTAAGCCAATAGAAGCCTGATATAATCAATGTTACATCAAGTGGTTTGACAGGATAATTTAAAAAATATTAACATTAAAATATTTTCATTTAAATGCAATTTTTATTCCAAGTAATATATGTAATAAATGATGTTTCTGACATAAAGCTATTACAAGGCAAAAAGCAGTTACTTAGATCTTGGCATAATGTCACAGGTGGAATAAACTGGTCAATGTCAGAATAAAAGTACATACATAGGTATATATTATATATAGTAATTATATGTAATATGCATATGTCATGTATATGAAAGATTAGGTAATATTTTTCTGCCGATTATCTAGCTATCTACCTATCTCTACTGTATGTGTTACAAGCTAATATTGCTATTATTACGTGGCCTCATCTTGAAATAAAAAATAATTAGTAGTAATAGACTATAAATACAGTATTTTCATAGCAGTGAGTGAATTATAAGTTTCAATTTCTGAATCCCTAGACTTATGGAACCAGTTTTATAACCTTCTTGTGTCTTTACAGAGAGAATCAGATTTGATAGAATACAATACCTATGTATGTAATCTTATTATTTCTATATTTTTCTTTTTTTCATCGCTTTACTCTCAATCTTCTAAGGATAATCAGTTTGTGAGATCATTTTATCCTAACAGATAGCAAAAGAGAAATCTACTTACAGCCAATCAACATGACACAAATTGAAAAGATTTTCTCCGAATTGGTGTTAGGAGACACATTTCCAAATCCTACACTGGTTAAACTGCTGAAGGTAAAATAAAGTGCTGTGACGTATTTGTCTTTAATGGATGGTCCAGAACTGGAGTCACTTTCATTGTAATGTTTCCCAATTTGTTGTCCTAAGGAATCCAACCATCCAATTTTGTCTGTCAGATATGGCCTTTCTACATTCCCAATTGCATACCAAATGCAAGCCAGCCAGTGAGCGATCAGAGCAAATATGCACATTAAGAGCATGAGAACAGCAGCACCATATTCTGAATATCGATCCAGTTTCCTGGCCACTCGCACAAGACGAAGAAGTCGAGCAGTCTTCAAAAGACCAATTAATGTGGTTGTCTGTTGAAATAAGTGTTCATGGTTAGAGACAGTTGCTAAACAATTCAAAACATGTTCCTGTAAAGCATAGTAGGTTAGAAACAGGGTAAAACAAATTGTAACATTGAGATTACTATATATTTAGACTAAATATTAAATTTAGTTACTTTTTAAGATTAAACATGCTTCCAAAAATACTTTGAATGTATATTATGCATTAATTCATCATTCTGACATGCAAAAAACAGATGGGACAGAGAATCTGTCTTACTTTAAGCTGTTACAAATGCTTTGTATATAATGAGTGTTCGGTAATTCATTCATTAGCAAATGAATGTTCTGGTGTGTTTCTATGTGCGTACAAATTACAGCACACCAGGATTTAGTATTGGACAGAAATACTGACTTGTCTAATAGAGCTACTTCATAGACAATGTGTCTTCTCTAATGAAAAGAAACCAGGTCTTCTATGTATTGGATAGGATAGACACTTTTTAAAACACAATTAGAGAGTGAAAAACAATTTTTAAAAAACAATTAGAGAGTGAAAAATGTGGCGATGATCTTAAGCAGAATGTTAAGACAGAGGGTATTTGGAAACATGAATTGTGTTAGAGACCACTTTGGAAAGCAGCTCAAAAAAGACCTCATTCATGACCTGAAACCTTAGCAAGAAAGGCCTGGAGAAGGGGCAGTCAAGCTGCTGCTTCTTCAACTGTGGGCACATTTATTGGATAATCGCAGGCGTGAATTACATTCTATACTTAAGTGCATTTTTCCTTGTTCTCTTCTTAAATGAGTTAAATTGATCAATTGTCTCTTGGTATATACTAGTGATGATATAACTGTCTTTTTGCTTTGGAGTATAGTATGTATAACTAATTACATGATTATTACTGACCAGGTATGTAATGACAGAGTACTTTCATTTAATAACAGGATATTTGTTTGGATTTGAAATCTGGTAAGTACAAATTACAAGTTCATTTCTTATGTTTCCTAAATAATGTCAACGGTAAGTACTATGTAATTCACAGGGCTTATAATTATTCCATAGTTAACATGGTGTTTACCAATCATTTATTGTATCTGTTCATTGCCGGTGTTTATTTTACAAAGTACATCTAATTGTGTTAAGAACACTTACAATTTAATTGAAGAATTAGTACATAACTATGTATCCATATCTGTATTTCTAAAAAAACAAAACAAGCACTAAATTTCAAGAGAAGTGTTTTCATTAAAACATTACAGTGTTTTCGTTTAGTTTCTTTGTTTTTTGTGCCACATGGGAAGGGAGAGTCCTAGATCTTTCCTGAAATTTTTGTTGTAAGAGTGGAGCCATCCAAAAATGACAAAAGATTGTGTAGTTGAGACGAGTTTATCATAATTAGACTCTAATCTTTGCTCATTGTGGGTTTTGTAGAGTAATGAATCTTCTCTGTCTTCAACGCTCACTTTTTAGAATACAATAAACATAATTCTTTTAATTCATAGATTTAAAAATACAACTCTTCTCAACGAATGATGACAAGTTTTAAGTCATACTGGGTGTTGAAATAAACACACTTTCCACTATTTATACTATCAATATTTTAGCTTAGCGATTACATTCTAGGACTTTGGAAAGGTGCACTTATAATTGAATTCTGTTTCTATACTACTATGTAACCTTGGACAAATAATCTATAGGATCTCAGGCTTTGATATCTGTAAGTGTGAATAACAATGTCTACCTTACAGGGCCATAAATAACCTTAATAAAAGCTAGATCTTGTTTCTGTTTAATACATCTTACATTTTTATATCTGCTGTAAAATGGGTTGATGGAGTTTTCAGGTTTTTCCAATATAAAATTTAGACAAATGGAATCTGAGGAGGACTATCCTCAGAGGCCAGGCCACCCACCAGGGAAATAACAGGGACTTTAAAGACGAGAACTTTTTCCAGGTGCATTAACTGCCAGACCCTGAGAATGGGAATCCCTATTGTCAATATTTCACCATTTTTACATAGTTTATATTCTTGTGTCTATTCTTCCACCTAATTCTACATTTTTACTTGTTCTAATAAATCACAAATATCTAAATTTATTGTTTGAATACTCAGATTATTATTTGTTATGAAATAAAAATTTTCAAAACAAATGAAATATAAAGCAAATTCTCTAGGTGGTTGGCAAATAAAGTGAAATAAGAACAAAGAACAAATGAATTCTTTTTATAACATTTTGTGAATATGAGTACTTCTGGGTATAAAAATAATAGAGTAAAAATTATATTATAAAAAGGAAGGAAAACAAATCTGTGTTGTATCCCACGCTCCTTTAGATCCCCTCCGTGGTCTGACATTTTCTAGTATTATATAAAAATAAAACAAAGTTTATATGATAGGAAGTCCCCAAGCAGATAAATCAATACGATTTATACAACAACATACAACATTTATACACAACAACACAAATGACCTCTATTCTGAAGAAAAATGAGGATCAAATAGGATACATGGTAAAGTCTCAAAACAATTAACATAATTCACACATTGGAGATATGATAAAAGAAAACTTAGGAAAATGAAGAGGAGAGGAAGAAACCAAAGGCTGCTGTTTTATCTCTCAGTTAAAAGGTAAGGAAAGATGAAAACTATTTTCTACAAAGTCATTTTCTTCAGCACAAATTGTAGGTGATGGTTAGGATTACAATAATTATTTCCTTTTTTTTTTCTTTAAATGCCTTTTAAAGACCTATGATATCTTGCCCTAGATTACAGAATGGAGAGACTAGACTAAAGAACTATCAAAATCCTCTTGCTGAGTTGGTTACGATTTGTCCTTGTTTTTCAGTATGGGGTTCTACCGCTGCATTACCTGCAAGTGAAAACTGTCAACAACAACTAACATTGTAGTATTGTGTTAGCGTCAGAATTTGCCTAAAGAGAATTTCAGAATGCATGGTTATCTCATAGCATATATATTTTCATGTAACGTCTAAATATAGAATAGAAATTTTCATGGATTTCAATTTTTGAAAATATAATAATCTAGGGGCTGGGGATTTAGCTCAGTGGCATAAGCACCTGCCTTGCAAACAGGCAGTCGTGAATTCATGAACCCATTTATAACTATAACAAAACAGTAGCAGCAAAGCATTTTCTTTTAAATGTTGATTTTTGAAACTTTTATTTGGTATCAGAAAAATATTCTTTGTAATTACTTTCTGTAGAGACTTTAAAAACTCTAATGATCTTTTAACATGTGAACTCTTAGCTGTATCCATTCCATCTCAGATCTCAGCTCATTTTTGTGACTGTATGATGTTTAAAATTCTTTAGATCAGGATGTTACAGGAGGGAAAATTTCCTTAAGACTTTTGCTATAATGTATTTTGTTAAGTTTTTAAATTTAAAGAGCCTTTTTCCAGAAATTCAATTATACATATTTCTTGATGGTCAATGAATACCACTTTAATTTTTTAAAACATCCACATCCATTGTTTATTAAAAGTCATATGGTTCCTTTTCATATTGATTTAGAATTCAGTTTCCCATAAATTTGTGACCTTGACTATATATACAGTTGTAGTTTTAAATATATTAGATTGCAAACTATGCTTCAAATGACTATGTCAGTCTTTCCACTATAAATTCCATAATAAATCAGGTGATATTCTCTACTAATGTCAATGGAATTCTTCTGAAACTAGCTAATTTATTATCGGTATTAAACAAGTCTCTATTAAAGAATAAATCTGGATATCATTAAATTAAGAAAATCCTATTTCAAGAATTTTAAAAATGGTTCTACCTTTAGTCATTATTTTCAAGAATGTTACCTTTAAGCACTTTTTGCTTTCCTGTCCTGGGGATCAAACACAGAGCCTCACATATACTAGGTAATTGCCTTACTATTAGATATAATCCCAGTACCTTAAAATACATTATTTCAGAGGCTTATTCTTTAAAACTTTGCCTATAAATAAGTTTTATATAAACTCAGAAATATGACTATATGTACTTTGGTTTCATTTACAGAGTTGGTAGAATAAATAATCATTGCAAATCCATCATTCTATCCTGTTTATCAAGAAATATTAGGGTACAAATGAAAAAATGATAGCATACAGCAAGTAATAAATTTCATAACTCCAGAATCATTTCTAGCTTTAAATTTCATTTTAGCTAATTCTTTCTTAGGTAAGTGATAGAATTATTTGTTTACATTTAATTATTTACACAATGCAATTCGATAACATGAAAAAGTGTCAAGTCAGTTCAATTATTTCAGTATTTCCAAGGACACACTCACTAATACAATCAAACAGCTATATCTTGAATGTATATGGAAACTTAGGAAATTATCTAATTCCATTTCTTTACACATGTCAAGTATCATAATTATTTCCTAAAAGTACTATTATTAAAGAGGAGATTTTACAACCTCATTGGGAAAATCCTTCTAATCTCAAATACATTTTTCTGACACACTTGTTTTTATTTTATTTTGTACTTAATATTCTATTGTGTTTATATCTGCCTCACTTTTTCCTTCTTTAGAGTAATATTGAAAACTAGTCATCAAAATGTGCTAAATCACAGAGGACAGATGTTACCTAAGTAAACTGTAGGTTGCTGTATTTTCAAACTGGAAAATGACTTTGCAGAAAATTATACCTTGTGTCATTTCAGTAAACTGTTGTCATCTAACCGATGAATCAGTAAGCAAATTAAAGTAATTTCTCTAATTGTAGATCCTCTGTCATGACATTGTGTTTTACAGGCATAATCAAAGTTCCAAGTATAAGCCAATGGAAACTTATAAGTCATGGACTGTTAAAGAGAAATACAGACACTTTAATGTAAGCATATGTACATGTACATGTCTTCAAAATGTGATTTATTAAGATTGAAAATAAATGTGTCATATTTTAGATATTAACTTCCAAGAAAAAAGTGATATCTATTGTAAAGATCAAGTTCAGAAAGATTAACTCACAAAAATGACCACAATTTCTATACAGATGTTA